GTGCTTCCTGAGCGTGCTCAGAGTGGTGGTGTACAGGTGACCCCCGACATTTAACTGCACAACATGAAAGTTCTGAGGAAAAAGACGATATTTAGGTTTCTGCAGAGTGCACCCAATGACTGCAGGAACAGTTACAGTGTTTAAACACTGGGCGTCATTTTCAGGCTCATGTGCAGCCTCGTGCTCAAGTACAGACGATCATGAATCAAACGTTTAAGCTGCTTTTTATCTTATTATTGTGAGTCAAAGTCATAATCTTACATAACCAATAATAGATCAATTTAAAGTATCAATTTAGTTTGCAAAATCTGCAACACAACTAATTACAGTCTTGAAATTAATCATATTTATTAGAAGAATTTCCTAAGACATCTCCTGTGGATGATCCATATTCATCTTGTAGTTTTTCCTCCCCTTGTGCTCATTTTACTTTACATACAGTTTGAATGTTGATCTTTCCTGACAACAAGGATTTTCACTTGAGTTTAAGGAGTATTTTTGTCTGTGATTTCTTCAGATCTGCACACAGACAAAGCTAAATAAATACCTGAACGCACAGACTGTGTGTAGCTCTGCAAGGCTGTCAGGCAGCATGAATCACCCACTTAATGATTTGCACAGGTAGATAAGACTGCATTCCTTCATGGTCTGTCAACACAAGCAGCCTGTCAGGGCGGCCTCACACGACTAACATTACAATTATGGATAACGCCTTTTACATGTTTATTTATTTATTATATATTAATTTAAAAAATATAAAATTAATGAAAACAGTGTAGATTTGAAATATATTGTAGTTTTTACCTGACGCCACTTCAGAGGAAGGATTCACATATAAAAATTTCAGATTTCAACAGATTTTACAAAGATTAGACAAAAACAAACAATCACCACGTACAAAAACATTGTCTCTTAACATTTTGCTGTTGTTTGTTTTCTTTAAATTATTTTAATTGTGCCACATAATATGCTTAAAAGTCCCGTGTTACTGCGGTTCATGCGCGCGGACATTTAGCCTGCATGTAAGTATGTGTGGAAAAAAGTTTGTTTTTTAATTGCTCATGACCTCTTAGAAATCAAATAAAAGACAGAAAAAACAAAAACTAACAGGAAACTGGCATGCCTGTTTCCTGTTTGGGTCTACCTGTTAAAAGTTTCCATTTTTCTTTCTCATATAAATTTATAATTTCTTAGACTTGTCTTGTGAGCTTTTGGCGGAAACATTTTTTCCCTAAACTAAGCCTATTTCTAACAAATGGCAGCTCTTTGAGTACAAATAAACACCTATTTGTTTATCACATGACCATAAAAGATAAGAAAATGCAGAAAATAGATGCATGGACATGCAGACATGTTAGATCAGCCCTACAGGCTCACCGCTGTGAGCCG